CCCCGGGGGGGGGGGGGGGGGGGGGGGGGGGGCGTACTCTCATGTTTTGCATGCCGTAGCGGTTAGACCATTGACCATGGGTCCTCGAGAGGACGGAGCATTGTTCCCACAGGACCGATCACCGATGGCCAATCGTTCCTTCCTACTTTGCCAAAGGTGGCTCAAAAATGCCATCCCTAGTCTGTCTATCCTAACGATATCCCTTCCCGCCTTTTCAAACCACTTCCTACTCCCCAGTACAGCTACCGTCCTCTCCTCTCTATTCCATACCTCAAACATCTCCCTGTACGTCCCTTGTATTTTTCCCAGCTCAGTCATGTACACTTCCCTCTCCTTATTGTACAGCTGACATTCCGCGACTGCATGAACACTGTCTTCGCATTCGAAGCCGTAATTTACACCGGGGGGGGGGGGGTACTCATAGTCGTGCATGCCGTAGTCGTTTGACCATTGACCTCGCATCCCTACAAAGCCGGGACGGAGCACGCCGGGTTCTCACCGGACCAGGCTCTCACATCACCAAGCGCGAAGCGCCGTGAGGTATTTGGCGAGTCGCATGAAGGGTGAGCTGCATCCTGCTAAGGGTGTTCGGCATCTTGTGCTTACTTCCTTGCGTACGGATGACAGCTGCGTATGACTTAATTTATTTTCTGGTGCTTTCACTTCCAGAGACAGTTGTAAGCACTGTGTAGCTGCCTCGAGGATGCTTGACCATTTTAACACAACGTGGTGCGATCATCCCCCGTTGCGCGGAGTGAGGTTTCTCGACCCCGCACATCATGATCTACTCGACCACCATTATGGTTACCGCCAAAAAAAAAACGAGGTAAAAAAAAAAGGGGGGGGGGGGGGGGGCGAATACGAATTGAACGAAAACGAATCGTTCTCTACCACTTACGTCTCCTTCGAACGGAGAGCACGTGGAGGCTGGACAGCAGTTAGTTTTGGATTTTACCAATCCTCACTTGTTTCTGCACCCGCTGCCCACGCACGTCTTCGACGATCACGCCGCTCACGTAAGAAGCCGTATGAATGGCTGTTAAAGCATGGGGCGATTGCTTTGTTACCTTTTCTCGTTTTGTTGTTAGCTTCGAACGCGCTGCTAGCCGTCCGACCGACGACAACACGTCGTTCTTAGAATAGCATATAGCATATAGCGGTACAAATAACTCGCACGATAGACTTACCATGTACAGCAGAATATCTCTACCTTCTTGGCGGTATGATTTCGTCGAATCCTTTTTAGTTCTGGTCGTCGATGTTGACGCGTGTGTGTATGTTTTGGACGGAACAACCGCGGTCACTCACACAGGACGGGGGATGAGCCCACAAATAATATATTATACTTGGAAGCTTGGAAGTACGAGAATTCCCACAATGCGATAATTGTAAAATCACCTGGCGTTTGCATCATGTAGTCCTGCACCGCAATATAACAACAGCTAGTCGAGAAACACGCGTAGGCGGCGTAGACTGCCGACTTGCCCCGCCGCCCGTCATTGCTCTCACCCGCGGCGCACACAAACCACGAACGAACGTTGCTGAATTTTTTCTGAAGGCTGGCGATTTGGAAGGGATGCGGCTGTACGTGGAGGCCGGGGGAAGCGTGAAGAAGAGAGACTTCTTCAACAACACCGCGCTGCACCGGTCGGCGTCGATGGGTTTCACCGCCATCACGGGGTATCTCTTGGAGTCCGGGGCCGAGGTGGATGCTGTTGCCAACGATGGCTGGTAAGGCTGAGCTTATCGAAACGTGCAGTGCGTTTGACACAGATAGCGCCCGCGCTCCTCACGAAGATAGGTAGCAGTTTAAGAAGTTGGCGGTTACTGTAAGAACTTCATGCTTAATAATATTGTCACGGTAGAATTGTGGGAAAGCGGTAAGGGCGGTTACCGTGCTTTGGCCTCAATATCCGCCGGCCAGGGTTCAATCTTGTGGGGTAGGCGCAAGTTTGGGGTACTAAATGGGTTGGAATGATCGCACCTGGATTCTCGATATATCCAAGGTCCGAACCTAACAAGGTGCTGCAGCAGCACATATTCCGTCGTGAGAGCTCACGAGATATGCGCGGAGTCATGGTCTTGGTTGGTCCCGAGCGGTGTTGCTTTCAGCGTTTGGATTCGATTCCTTTCGTTAAGGTTGGCCGTAGCGAAAACTACGTGGGGGGGGGGCGGAGCCATGGGGGGCTCCGCAAAAGAAGCAGGTGTCCTTTGAGGCATACCCTAGCCCTCATCGATCTACTTCGCAGTAGATCGAATCATCGTATTTACCCGAGCGCTATACATGCTGCTACAATATATGAAACATAGGAACTTGAGCACTGTTTGTGAACCTGTTTCAGAACCCTTACACTATATGACGGCCATGTGTTGCCCACAAGAGGAACTAAGAACCCCAGCCTCGGGGCAAAGCTAGGGTTTCTTTAGGGCGGACGCTAGCTGTACGGCGAGTCTTTGCCTACGCGAGTCTCTGCCTACGCGAGTCTTTGCCTACGTATTATAGTAGTAAACGGCGGTTGTGCCGGTGTTCGCATTGTGTCGGTTTTCGCGTGCGTCTCCCTCGGAAATGTATGTCGCGAGAGCGACTGATGCGTGAGATTACTTTTTTGAAGGAAACCTTGCTGCTTGGACCGGACGAGAAAATTGCGATGAGGCGTTACTGTTTTTCCTGGCCGAGTCTCCCCGGCGCGGCTGCTACTGGTTTGGTTTTTCGGGCTGTCCGAAAATCCTGCGCACGATCAACACATGCGTTCATTTACTCTTTTTTTTTTTCCCGTGGAAGGTAGGGAAAGCAACTTTTCCCTTCCTTTCATGTTGTGGGCAGTCAGGTCGGGTGGGGAGGTACGGATAAGGCTACGTTTCGGCCTTGGTGAAGGAAGCAGTCGCCACCACGGCCATGGAACATTGCAGCCGTGGTCTACGGACACTAAGACCTGCTTATTATTTTTCGCAAGAGATATGTCCCCCTCTGAGGCGCGTGGCGTTCCGTGCCTCAGTGACCCAGTTTTGAGTAAGAGCGTCTATCAAAGACAGCGGTTTGCCGAACTGTTGGTGACGCCGCTTACCGGTCCGCGTTGACCGGTAACCCCCTCACCTAACCTCATGTTCGGTGCGGTATGCCCTTGTCACCTACAGCAACGTGGATCAAACAGATTAGGCGCGGCCCGCAAAGAAAGGATTATGGCTGTGCGTACGCCTACAGGGGACATTTTATTTTCGTTGTGCTCTCGAGCTAAGGACTCTCTTCGTGTGGTACCCCGCTCCATTTTTTTTTCTTGTTTGCCGGCCCGTAGGACGCCGCTTCATTTGGCATGTCGATGGGGGCGCGTGGGAGCGATCAAGGCCCTCGTGCAGGCTGGGGCTGACGTGAACAAGACCACCAAGGACGGGCGGATTCCGGCAGAGCTCCTCAAGATCGAGATGTCTCCCAGGGATCGGAACGAGACCCTCAAGCTCCTGGGTGAGTACACTGCTGTAAGCAGAAGTGGTGACAGCGAAAGGTCTTGATCTGTGCCATTGCTATGTAGAGAAGCTGCTCGTGAAGCCCCTGGGTGAGTACACTGCTATATTGTAAACAGACAAGATGACACCCGAAAGCTCTTTATCTGCGATATTGCTAGAAAAACTGCCTAGTTTTTGTAGTTTGCGGTGGAAGCCGCTCAAGCAGAACCGTGACTCATGGCGTAGCTTACTCACCCCATTATGAGCTATTTGCGTCTTGACCCTTCACCTGTTGTGCTTGTTCATCTTGCGTGCGTCGTACCTCGTTGGAAAAATCCCCCGCCCCGAAACTTTGTTGGACCACCCGGTTATTTTTTCCTGCCTCCTTTTGTGTGTGACTCCGTTTGGGCATGCGGGCTTTGCTATTGCTGCTGGATTGGGTATTGAATGGGCTGCTGTGTGTGTGTGTGTTTTTTTTTTTTTTTGCCCCTTCTCTGCAGGTAGCTCACCATCGATGGCCGGCTTCAAGCATGCAGGCGAAGTCGGCGACGAGTGAGGTCAAGTGGATTGATGCAGCGCAAGCCAAGGCTACAACGCTGGTACCCTCCCTCCGCCTTCTCCAAGAAACGTTTCTCTCTTAACGAATTGAACGCGCGCGCCGAAGCAACCACACTACACACTAGTCACCCATCACGAACGGATTTCCCACCCCCGGCGCCAGCCATTTTTTTTTTTTTGTCCAGATCACGATGTGCTATTATGTTGACCGCGCTTGGGTGGGAGTGTAGGGTGTGCCTGGGTGTTGGTGACTGCGTTGCTGCGGGCTAACAAGCGCCGATTGTCTTTATGTTTGGCACCCTCTTATCGAGAGGCTTCGGCGAATTGGGGGGTAGAAAGCGGAGGCGCCTGGCATGTTTGTGATACGTACCTCGTGTAGGACAATTTTTTTTATTGTGTACAGATTAGTAGTTGTTGGGAGGCTAAATTTTTTAGAAGCCGAATTTAATCGTTAGAGTAGTCAGCGCTGACTAGTTTAATGGCTTGATTTTGGCTTCTATAGGTGGTGCTTGGAAGCAACGCCCTCCAGAGTGGGCTTTCGGCGTACGTTTTCGACGTACGCGTGTATTGAGTATTTTATGTTCCGACGACGTTTCGACGGAAGTCGCGCCGCCGCCCGGTCACACGCTTGTGCTAGTGTGTGTTTGATGTGTTTGTAAGGTCGACCCCAGCGATAATGCTCTTCTTGCGGCGACGGTTCAACGCTTGCTGTAGGAGGGATGGGGGGTTCGGGGCCGACATTTTCCACACGTGATGATTCATCCCTGGTGTGCAGCTTGAAATTTCGTGCTTCGTGAGGCAGACCAGACCATTGAGAGTAGCATTCCCTCACCTCAGACTCGCCGACTTTCTTTCTGGGAGAAGAAACTGCTTTGCTACTAAATACCGCGCACCACATGACCCAGAATGTAGATGGATTGGCATCAGAACCCCCGACCCATTTTTTGTTGTCGCACGTAGCGTGCTTTGGTACACCTTGCACCTCCGCGGCTTACTCGACGGCGTATTTCGCATCAACAGTTTTGACGTGCCAAGGGGGGGGGGGGGGGTCCCCACCCTGTAC